GTGACTAACTGCGTGACCTCAAGCGACTTACTTAACATCTCTGAGGCTCAGCCCCTTCATCTGTAAAACAGGGTTAATTATAGTTCCTGCCTGGCACAGAATAAACAAGCAGGGGGTGATGGCTGAAAGGTCCTGAGGGGAGACTGTGTCAGTCCTGTATATCACGGGGCCTGGCACGCAATTGTTGTGCAAGATCTCTTATGGTTGATTTAAGACGAGACAGGGCCTGTGCTCCCAGCCTTCTGAGATGAGTTCTGTGACTGATGCTTACCATGCTGCATAGCTGCTGGACACCCCATGCTGTTTACCCATTCAGTCTTAAATGGGCTCTTGGAATTGGCAGCCCCTGGTGAAAAGATTGTTGCCGGCTGACTTCTCTTTAAGCAGACACTGAGCTGGAGTTTGCGGTGCAAGATGTTTACTAGGGATCAACACCCATAAAGGGAAGTGGGAGGAAGCAGGATTGGGCAGAGGGAGATTAAACTGTGATGCAAATCTGACGAACCTCGGGTAGCCTGGCAGGAAGCTCTGGAGCAGACGCTGACTGTCGGAACGCCCCATCAGGCTGATTTTCTCTCTCCCCTGCCTCTCAGGCACTGGGTGCGTGTGGCCTTGGGTGACGAGGCTCTGGCCAGGGCTACTCTCTGCAGCAGAGGCAGACCTTGAAGGAACTGGCAGCTGGAGATTATGTGCTGACCACATTCCCTACAAGTTCTTTCCTAAGGGGCGATCCAGTTGGTGCATCTCCATTTGACCACTGATATTTCTTAGTTAGCTTGTGGTAGCAAAATTGAGTGTGACAAATAAGTAGATCAAGAGTGGAAAGAAACTCATAAAGAGTCACATGTGGGAGAGAGAGATTTGCTTGTGTTTTGTAGGCTTTTATAATATAAAAGTCAAAGAAAGACATTGAATGGGACATTAGCTATTTAGTTTGTCTGTACCAATAATATATAAATGATCAGAGAATACTCGCTGTCCCAAGAGGATGCTGGGCACAGACCTCAACTGTAACAGGAGAGGCAGATGTATGGGGAGGAAGAGACTGTATTGCAGAAGCACCATAACATCTTGGTTGTGATGATAATTCTAAAACCATGGTATTTATTAATCACACACAGTAAACAATTTGTCAAAGGAAGAGAGAGATTACTTTTGAGAATCTAAAATGTGCAAGGTGAGGGTGCTGGAGGCCATGATTATTTCCCTTCTTTCAAAGTCATTTAGAGCCCCTTGACCAAAGTGTCGGAGAAAGAGGAACAGCTCTAGTGGAGTGAGGTCAAATCCACCAAGGGGCGGAGATGCTCAGGCACTCAAGCCGGGGTCAGGATGCCTTTGCCCGTGCTTTGACCTGGACCCCATGGGAAGCTCTGACTTCTGAAGCCAAATCAGAATTAGAAGACCAAGCACACCTGTTCAAAGATTACAAACACAGAAAAACCATCTGGAAACATGTGACAGCTTTTCATTTATTGAAGAAGAAAGTCAATGTCCAGAGGTTTCATGCTGCATGACAGCCTTCGCTGTGTATTTAAGCCCATCATGGAAACACTGCTGGTAACCACCACACTGAGAGGGTGGTAGCCTCCAGTGAAGGGCGACCGGATCAAAATGGAAGGAGCTCACTCGCAGCTGGTTGCCTTTTCACACAGGTCTATTTGTAACAACTACCATGGGCAAATGGAAGAAATGATAACCACACACCCCTCTCACAGGAATGGGCAGGCAGTAATCCGAGCCACTCGCCAGCCATGGGAAGGCATTGGTGTCCAGTCCTACTCCAGCCAGCCCCTCCCTTGACCACAGCTGCATATAGGTCATTACTACCTGATGACGTTACTACCCTAAGGACGTAATGTCCCGTTGCTCAAGGTTTCAGATCTTTATTTCTTTGAAGTTTTTTGGCAGCTGATTTCTGATACACAAAGCATAAATTTGAGGAATCACTAATTTTAAATTTTAACAAATTTGTTAGTTCTATATATTGTGTCTGCTACATACAAGGCATTGAGTGCAGGGTGAGTGTATTTGGCACATACCAGATCAGGAACACACACAAATCTGCTTGTCCAAGGGCTCACACAAAGAGGCTGCCATGTGTGCAGCTTATCCTGGGAACTCTCTACAAACCAGTTTATAAGCCACTCAAGGACACCAGTCTCGTGATTCTCAGCCAAGGGGGACCACCTGAGAGAACCTTTCATGCCACCTTCCGATATCTGAGTTCACGTGGCACTTGGCTTTTCCATATTGCTACACTGTAACCATCTTGAGGGAAAGGGCTATTGTATTCCTGTTATAAACTCAATGACTGGAAAAGGACTGGCTCATAGTATATACGCAAATGTTTGCTGAATGAATGAGGCCTATTCTGTAGGCCTGAAAGACGGTCTCAAAAGACCAAACCTCTAGCCATCCAAGCTGACTACTTCAAAACCACAAAGCCCACTTGAATATGCATGTTGCAATGTGTGGACTTAAAGTTCATTTTTTTAAAAAATTTTTTTATAAAAAAGCTAATTTCTTTCTTGCTAATGAAAGCACATCATATTTCATTCAGTTTCTTAATTTTTCTGATTTATAGAGTTCCAGTAAAATGTTATGATATGCTATAATACTCTTTTTATTTTAAAAAATACTCATGTAGCATATTTTCTAGAAATGTTGGTCAGGTCACAACTTCCTCATGGATATTCCCGTGTCGACTCTCCCAACATTTTTATCTTAAGATAAACCTGTTACTGAAACCTAGTTTAATTTGAATGTAAAATGGTCCTATTTATGCAGTCATTTAAAAACTAAGACAATTTGCCAACAAAGGTACTGAAAATCTTTAAAATATAGTACGTTGTAGCGCGTCTTTAATCCTACACTGAGTCTGCGTCAGGACTGAGAGGGTCCAAGAACAACAGTTGGACCCTAAAGGAGCTAGGCATGAGCATCGTGCGTTAGTGTGCAACGCAGGGTTCGTAGTTCTTGTGGTGTTCCCACGTCTCCTTTCTTAAAAATCAGAGGGGGAAAGGCAGAGTCCCTGGCATTTTTTTTCCAGTAATGTACATTGGCCGAAGTCTTCTTTACCTATAAACCCCACTAAGTCTCCATCACGTGTCCCTGAGCTAACTCTACGCTGAGTGTAGATTCAACAAGTACAATCATGGCTCACCCTTCCTCCTTCCATCCCTCCCCCCATTCTCAGCTCCACTGGGACTCCCATGGCATAGAGTGTCAGAAACACAGGATCCAAAGGGCATAGAATGGAAAAGCCAAACTCAATTGTGTTCTCTCCACCTGACTGCACAGTGTTATTTAGGTTTGGCCCATGCTTATTGCTCATGCTTCCACGTTCCTCAAAAGATATCTGGGTCTTCTCCTGGAATTGGTGACCATATGGACAGCTCTCGCCATAGACCGGCCTAGGAGAAGTCATCCTCCCCTTGAGTGTAAGCGGTGCTTGCTGTCCTGGGGCCCACGCTGATGTGCTGGTCCCAGATCAATGCTTACTTGCCCCCACTGTGCACCACAGGTAGCATGTGAAGGTAGTGAGGCCTTTGTATTCCCCCGGCTCTCCCTGCTGCTGCCCATTTTCTACTCACTTTATTTCTCCCTAACATGTACTCTAGAAGTGGGCAGGGAGAAGGATAATGTGGCGGAGTCCATTACTTTTGTGTCCTCTTTGGAAGGGATGGCCTTGGCACTGAAACCAAAGTAACTGACAGCAACCTGGGAAGGTCAGATGCTTCCTCTGGAGCAAGTGGCAAAGCTGGGGTGGTTGATGGCGCCGCACTGATAGTCTGGGCCAACTGGGGACACTTGGGAAGTGAGTTTGACCAGAGGACAGAGAAAAACTGGCCAGCCAAGGTTGTCTTAAGGTATTTTGGAGATTTTATTTCCTTATCACAGTCTCTTATTCTTCATACTCCAATATGGCCATTTGACCTATAATTGTACACATTTAAAACACAGAGATGGCAAAGAAAGTGACAAGTCATGGATATTTTTAAATGGTCATTAAAAAGCACTTTTCTAATATATAAAATGTCTTTAAATGTGATAAATTTGCCAAAGGGCTAAAAGAAAGACACAAAGCAAAAGTGAATTATACTACTTTTTTTTTAGCCTAAGATCTAAGTTGAAAGCTTCTCAACATATTAACACTGTACAGTACGAAAGAAGCGTGGAGGCAAATATCACTCCAGCGGCCTCAGAAACAAGAAGGCCAAGAGGCCAGCCCGTTTTACAGGGAGCAGACAGAGCAGACCGATACAAAAGGCACCCGACGGAGTGAGCCCAAAACAGAGCCAGGGCCGGTCCCACCAACTCAGCTCTTAGTCTGCCAGCACCGACTGAGAGGACTACTTCCACGACACCGGTGGATGGGCTGAATCCTTGCCCAGGTCAACCCCGGAGCCGGGTGTGGAATCACAGAACCTCCAGCAGGACTCAGAAACGGGTTGAAGCCAACAGAATCCAGATGACTTGCTGGCATGGTCAGTTGCCCCAGGGACTCACTGATCAGTCCTGTCAATAGGTTCAAAACAGGAAAAAGGACCCTCGCTGGCCCAGAACAGATCAAGGAGACCAGAGGGGAATTAAATCTCAGGTTGTTTGGAAAGATTCTAGATCAAGAATCTATAAAGCCTGGCCTGAGTATCAGGCCCCAAAACCAGAAATTCTCCAAGATGGAAGTTTCCATGAAACCTTGTGCTTTCATGGACTATGGCAGTGGCCAGTCCTTCTGTGTCCCCTCTTGTAAGGGGTGGCATCAGAACTGAACCCACAGCAATTCGCAGTGCACTGAGAAAATCAAAGACCCCTCCAGAGGTCAACCATGTTAACACTCAGGCAAATGGCAGAGCCAGGATAGTCTGCAATGCTGTTCGTTAGTCCTCCTTTGAAAATTGCAGTTATTACAGTTGGGAGCCAATCAGCAGTCTCCTGGGATGGCCGGTCAATTTTGAAAACTCTGGCTTGGCACATTCTGACCAAAAGTAATAATGTTGTCCAAATTCATCTCTTTCTGATTTTTTTTTTTCTTTTTCTCACTTCCTTTTCCTTCTTTGGTTTCCCTTTGGTCCTGTCAGTGGGGAAGCTGTATCCGTATTTCTAATTACTTCCGAAAGGACCACCCACCTCATAGACAACCCCTCAGAGGGAGAGAGCTCCCGAGGTTGTCTCCAGCAACATAGAAGACAGCTTCAAGCTTCCCTCTCTCCTTGTAAACGAAACCCACTGAGCCTGGCTGATGCAACCAAAGTTCTTCAGGGTTTTCACAAGATCCCGGCGGAATCTCTCACCCACAAAAACATAGAGAACAGGGTTCAGGCAACTGTGGAAAAAGGCAATGGTTTGAGTGACCTGGAAGCAGATGTCAATGTTGGTGGAAATGGCACAACTGGAAATGAACATGGCATAGGCGTCAATGGTCTGCACCAACAGAACACAGTTATAGGGGAACTGAGATAAGATGAAGACAGTAAGGACAGTGATGGTCACCCTCAGGGCCTTGTGCTTGGATGACTTCTTGGCTTGAATGAGAGTGTGAATAATGATGGTGTAGCAGCAAGCCATGACTACAAAGGGAAGGAAGAACCCCAGGATCACCTTCAGGGTCAAGACAGTCGACTTCAGTTTGGTACTCTCATCACTAGGGTAAACCATGGTGCAGATGGTAATGTCAGATTCCTCCTTGATTTGGCTGTACAGGATTTCTGGGATGCAGAGCATGGCTGCTACCACCCAGACAGTAAAGCAAACCATTTTGCTGTACAGAAGCCTTTTCTGCCTCCAGGTCTGCGCTTTCATGGCCTGAGCAATGGCGATGTACCTGTCCACGCTGATGCACATGATCAGCAGCACACAGCTGTAGAAGTTCATCTTGTACATGCTGTTTACCACTTTGCACATGAAGGTCTGGAATTTCCACTGGTCAGCAGCAGCAATGGCCCAGAAGGGAAGAGTGACAAGGAAGAGAAGGTCAGCGATGGCCAAATTCAAAAGGAACATGTCAGTCATGGTCTTCACTCTTGTGCAGTACCAGTAGACAAGGATGACCAGACTGTTGCCCAAGGCACCCACGATGAACACGAGCCAGTACAAGGGTGGGAGGAAGTAGCTGGCGAACTGCCTGACGTTGTTCTTCTTACAGAATAAGTCAGTGAAGTTGAAGTTTGCATAGTCATCCACAGAATATGTGGAGTGATAGATGTAGTCTTCGGACATATCAAGGTTAAGCATCTACAAGGAGACACAAAATGGCATTAGGTCAAGGACAATCTTAGAGGTCCTGTCTGATGGCAGAGGCATGGAGCACTTGACCCTTCCAATCCTAAATGGCTATGATAGGACAAAAGAAATATGTCTGTAGAAAGTGGGAATTCTGAGAGCATCCGCTTAGATCATAATGGATATATTTATTCCACAAATATTTATTAAGCACCTACGATATATCAGGTGCTGTATACATGCTAAAGTTACGGTGGTGAATGAGTCAGACGTGGTTCCTGCTCTCATGGAACTTACCTACTCGTAGAGGGGGCATACAAACAAGTGACCAATTACAGGATGCGTGATGAATGCTCTGACAGGGTAGGAAAGAGTGCTTCAGGACCACTGATGGGCACGAACTTTTATCAAACTAAGAGAAGGAATCTGATCATCCCTCTCCCCTCTATACCACCCTCCCAAAAAGATCCTCAGGGCTCTTAAACTTTTCTGGGTCCAGATCCCTCTGAGTCTTCTAAAAGCCCTCTACTCCAGAAGCACCAACATACATGTACACACATGCGCACATCCACACGTACACACTCACATTCGCACACTCTCACATCCATGCACATACACAAGCATCAGAACAGGATACATGATTTTCAGAGTCCCTTATTCAAAATTTGTTAAGAATTTCAAGAAAGCAGAGGAGTAAGTCAGGCAAGTGGCACTTCTAAGCACGGAGACCTGTGCAACTGTACAAGTCGAACACCCATGAAGCCAACCCTCACAAGTACACATACGTACACACAAACACACAATGAACACACGCATTTACAGACACACCCACATGTGCACAAACATGCCTACACTAACGCTGACATGCACACATGTGTACACTCACACATATTCACACTCACGTATACCCACACTTTCAGACACATGAGCACACACCTTCACAATGAGCGTGTGCACACGCACGCGCACACACACACACACACCCTCATTACAATTTCAGTGGGTTCCGGCCCCGGAAGCCATCCTAGAACCCCTGCTAGGGGAGGAGGAAATAAGGGCTGGAGATGAGAACTCAGACAGGAGCCCTTGAGACAAGCCTGGGATGGGAGGGAATGGAGGAGAGGGCTTCGACATGGAGTGGAGACTCGGTCCTGCATCTGCCACTTCCCAAAGCGGTGCTCACAGCTCCTCAGACGCCCTCACTCCCCACCCAGAGCTCCCCGTAGGGCTCCCACATTCCCCCAGGGACCACCAGCTCTAGCTCCCTCGCCCTGAGGCACACTCCTTGCCAAATCTCATCTCTACCTTTATTTCTCTTCAGGCAAATGCAACAGTTGTTCAATTCGTCTGGATGCATTTGGACTAGAAGTAACCTCAAATCCACAATCGATTTTTATTCTGTTTTACATATTAAATATTTAAGTATAAATATTTAGTTTACATATTTAACTATTCATAGCGAAATAATACAATATCCTCTGCCAGCTTTCTGTTAGCTGGGTTCTCCCCATCTATATAAGTTATAATTTCCATCTGTTTCTAATAGCTTCAACCAGCATTTCCCAAACCATGTTTGGGGTGGAATATGAATGGTTAAATAGTTGAGAATCTCTGCATATCGCCTTCTTTGAAATTCACAATGCCTGTGAGCGCATCCAAGCCTCTGAAAAGGCCTGCAGAACTTGTTTTATTTTAATGGCACATTAGAGTAGCAAAGATTCTGCTAAGTCCTTCAGAAACTTTTGAATTTTGTTCAACAATGTTTCCTAAACGTATTTGAGCATGGGACCTCTTGCGTATGTTTGTTGAGTGCTTATTAAAATATCAGGACACACTGAGTTGACTGTTAAACGGCAGTAGGTGTCAAGAGGCTGTTGTCTCCTGACTTCTGAAGCTCTCATCAAGACCTGAGGGGCTGAGTCCATTCCATTTGGGCCCTGGCTGGTAGGAAGTACCAGGAGGACCCCAGGGAGGACACCCAAGTTGACTTGGACTACAACTAGGAAAATCTGGAATCTAGTCCAGACTCTGCCTGTAGCGTGTGACCAAGAGATACTTCTATTGCAAAGAGGGGGACCCTTGGGGACTGGATCTAGGAGATGGCTCTTTAGGACCAGGCAGCTAGAAATGGCCCGCTGCTGGAAGAGCTGAGCAAAACTCTCCCTGTTTTCTGTGTGCTTCATCCTCAGGCCTGATTCATCCGTTCTCAGTTTACATTTAAAGATTTCCCTTCCAGCCTTGGCCATTGTCTGGAAAGCGAGTCTGTTGGAAGGACAGAGCTCATGGGTGATACATATTTTAGTGAAGATGCCAGGAGAATTTGGCCAAAGCTGGACGTGGGTGCCAGGCATGGTCATGGCCCCCTGGGAAGGTCATCCCCTAAGAGGTGGGGTCTGAGTAGACTTTGAGCAAAAAGAAGCACTCTTAGGGCGGAAAGAAGAATATGAAGGGCGCGGAGACCCAAAAATGGGGATCACTGTAGATGTAAGAGGTTGGGAGGATGACATTTTGGAGGAAAGTCAGTAAAACCATGCAGACGAGCAGGTGTCAACTGTGAATCCACATGATGAGTAGGCATGAAACTGCTTTCATAGGGGTTTGTTTTTTCACTTTTTTTTTTGGTCAGATAGCTTTAATAGACTCTCACATGAGACTGAGCCCAAGGCTGTGAGGTAGGGAGGCAAACAGCATCCCCATTCACAGATGCAGCCCAAAGGGTCTCACAGAGGGGACCTCAGGCAGTCCCAGTGTCCCGAGAGACCCCACTGTCTCCACAGCCTGGTGGAGGTCACCGCATCCCGCCTGAAGCACAAGGAGTGTGTTTTCTTGTTGGGGGAGGGTTGGAGGACCCAGTGCTTCAGCATAGAATTACATTTAGTTAGGAACTCCCCAGACATGTTTTAAAAGTGGTTTTATTTACTCACAAAAAAACTGAATTTGTATAAATTTTGCCAAGACCGCATTTGTTGAGAAGACCAAGGTGAGCCTATACCATCTTTACAAGTTCAAAGCTTTGGCCATCTTAATGAGGCTAACAGAGCAAGAGTTCACGTCCCAGGCTAGAGGAATCCTGGATAAACATGTCCCACTCCTGTCAGGACTCATGGTCATAGCTTTGTACATGCCTGCTGGGTAAATGTCCTCTGGATCTTAGACACAGAATCCTTTGAAAATCTCCCAGGAGATGCACATGTCAATATTTACCAATGTGTCTTATTCACTACCTTTGGAATACCTGCTGCTATATTTAACCCTTGAGCTTCCAGGTCAGGGCAGGTCCCTTTTTCGCATGACGGACACCAGGCTTCCAGGAGGAATTCGGAGGTTGCAAAGCCAGTCCTTCCAGCCTCCTTGCTCTCGGTGTTGTGTCCTAGAGACACTGCTCTTGCTGGAGAAGCTACCTACCAAGGCTGTTCTCACAGCCTGGGCCAGGAAAAGATCTGGAGAGAGGATGAGCAAAAGACCTGAAATCCACACACTTTCTACCCCATGTTCCCTCCGAGAGCACACGCTGGAGCCATCTAGCGTGAGCACTTCATAGAGTGACTTCCCGCACGCTGCCCTGGCTTTATTCCCAGGGTCTGCAGTGAGGTGAGATCTAAGGTGCTGCCCTGTGCAGCCCACTCTCTCTGCTGAGGGGGAGGGGTCTCAAGGGTCTTGTCCGTATAGCCCTGCGTCCTGCACATTAAGACCTACCCTAGACCTTTATTTGGCATTTAAATCCACAGAAGGTATAAAGAAAGACTTTTATCTCTCTTGAAGAACAGGTGAGGGTTTTTTTTCTCATGAACCATATGAATTTTATGACTGATCTGGATTCCCTTTTTAAATTGGGAAGCTCAGCCAAATTTATAGCCCAATTACAGTAACCAGACAAGACCTTTTAGACCAGCACCGTCTACTAGAAATATAAGGCAAACCACAGGTTAAGTTTGCATTTTCTAGTAGCCACATTAAAGAAGTAAAAAGAAACAAGTGGAACTCATTTTAATAATGTATTTTATTGAAACCTAACATAGCTAAAATATTATCCTTTTATTATATAAGCAATATAAAAATTATTGGGCTATTTTACATCCTTGTGTGTAAACTGAGTGTATTTTACATGACAGCACATAGCAACTGGAGCAGCCACATTTCAGGTGCTCAACAGGCCACATGGCTGGTGGCTGCCTCACCAGACAGCACAGCTTTAGGATGGAACCCCAGCTCTAACTCCTCTCGGTCTTTTCTCCCTATTCAATCAATTTCCTCTGACCCCATTTTAATTTACTTTTTTTTTCCTGTTCTGTTGTACGTGTCCTCCTAAAGTGCCTCCAGTCTGTGATGGAACATGAAGTGGGCAGGGATAGGGTTAGACAGGGCCCTCTTGTTCCTAGAAAATGTCCTGGCCCTCCTCTCTGAAGGGGCTGACCAATTCTCATTCATATCTTATTGAAATGTCTAGAAATATCCTTACCGAAGGTTTCTCTTACTGTGTTTCTTACCAAACTATGTCGTTCTCAGACCTTCTTAAAAACATGAAGTCTTTACCAAAGCTACACCACTATTCACAGATGTCTGAGCAGGATGTCAATTCTTCTTTCGCGTGAGGAGTGATCAGTGTTAGGGGAAGGAGAGGCCCGGACCTGGCCAGGACGGCGTCTTTGTGAAAATGTGACTGTCTCATTCCTGCCTGGACTGAGACAATGGCACGTTTACAGTGTAATTGTTCATTCATCCCACAAATACTTACTGAGCGCAGTCTATGTGTCAGGCAAGGAAATGACTTCCAAAGGACCCCATTCGTGTGGATGATGGACACAGAAATGGAGCAGGACACTGGCAAGCTCCCCAGCCCCGGGCCGGGCCCTCCCGTGAGGCCGGCAGATGGGCCGGGGTGAGGTGGGCCGGGAGAGCGCGAGGCCTGTTTGCTGCTCGCAGGTCTTGACGGCAGCTCCACAGCTCAGAGCCAGGGCAGCACCGAGCCAGGGCGCATTGTGGGACAGCCGTACCACTCCTAAGGAGTAGTAGGGGCTACTTAATTTGGGGATTTATTTCATTTATTTTGGATGATTTTTAGCATTTTGATCAAGGGAAAAAAATTCGTGCACAGCAGTCATAGATTTGAGTAAAGAAGGGAATGTGTGCAGCAGCGTGCCAAGTGGCCAGCCCAGGACTCGGCTACGGGGGGCTGCCTCCTCCTTCTCACACAGGCTTTTGTTTCTGCTCGGGATAAAAAATTTTGAAACCTCAACAGGTTTAGAATGATTTTGAGATCTTAAAGACCACCAGGTCCAACCCCCTTGTCTTAGAGAAGATGAGACAGAGGAGAGGAATAGAAATGTTCTGCACAAAGCCCTCAGCCGCTGGGGGGAGGTCAAGGTCAGGCCAACCCCCACCCTCTCAGTCTTAACCTGGGGCACTTTTAACCCCTTCGAACCCAAAGCCCTGCTCTCCATGTTCTGATGTTGTCGAAGTGGCCAGGACAAATCTGAGCTGCAGCATCTGGGTGCCCAGCACTCGGGGCGCCCAGACAGAGCAGCTGTCAAGTGCCATTCCCCCCCACCTCCCCCGAAGACTATGGAGCAGCAGAGGACACCTGGCGCCTTCCTCAGCCCAGAGCAGCCAGGAGCTGCCTTTCGCTGGGGGCAAACCTCAGGGCACAGCCAGGGCAAGGGGCCTGCCTGTCCACTGATGGCCCTGGCAGGCTCTACCCAGTACCACAGGCCCTGGCTCCCATGCAGGTGTGTCCTCCTCCCCTAGGGAACCCTTGGACTCGGAAGCAACAGCCCAAGCATCCAGGGTTGTGCAGCTACTGGAGGAGGAAGAAGGTCTCCAGAGCTTTCTGAGGCCTTCCTCACTGACTCCTGTTATCTCTGGAAACCTCCACCAGCTCCAGGCCCCCTCATTCCCACCTCTGAGAAGAGGACAGGGCAGAGGGCAAAGGCTGTGTCCCCCATTCTTGCCTAGCAGCAAGGTGGGTCCCTGGGTAGAGGGATGGGATAAGAGGGAAGATGGGGGCAGGGCAGGAAGTGAATTCCTTAGGAGCAGTGGCAGTTGGCGTTGGCAGGAGCTGCTGCCAGGACACTCTACCCTACACTTGGGGAAGTATTAAACCCAACAGTGAGACTTGATTCTCGGTGCCTTTGACATTAATCCACAGGAAGCCACCCAGTGAAGCCGAGAGCGCTGAGAGCACCCTCATAGCCATTTCCCAAAGAATGTGGGAGTCGGGGCCACAGTGGTCCCATCTTTTCTGCATTTAAATGGTGCTGGGCGCCTCTGACCACAGAAGGTCATTATTGGGGTGCATTTTTTTCCTCCATGGGGCTGCCTTGCAGAGTTTGGATATTTTCCAAGATCCCAAATGAGAAGACCGAATGACGGACAGTCTCCAGAGCTGCCCCGGCTCTGCCGCCCCAACCTGGCTGTTTCCACCGCATCAGGGATGAAGGGCAAGTTCTAACTAAGGAGAACGGAGGGGTCTAAGTCCGGTCAGGAAAATAGACTTACCTCATTGCCTCACCAGGACTAAATTCATTATCTTTTTTTGTTGTTATGGATATGCGACTGTACATATGCAATTCTAAACATCATTAGCATAGCATGAATGATTTACTTGAGGTCAACCATTCCAACCACAGCTCTCCACAGACCAGGGAAACCTATAATGTACTGAGAGGGCAGTTTGTTAGCTCCGCTAAGATGGCTTGATTCCAGTTATCTACATGTAAAACTCAGATTTCCCTTTGAGAAAAGCAAAATTAAAACCTTTCAATATTTTTGTGAGGCATTTATGAATATAGCAAAAGCATAAGAATTTTATTTGATTCTATAATTGATTACATTTGGCTATAAAACCACAAATGATTCTCTGGGTAATGACTTCACTAAATTTTGTTAGCCTCTTTGTCTCTTTCTGAAAAATATATACCATTATGTGTTTTTTGTAAAGCCTTCGTAATGTTACGTAAGAAATACAACTAAGGTGCCCACCATCGGTCTTTTAAAAACAAATTAAATGGATGCTCTCTTGCCCTCTTTTGTCTGAATTTCAGAACAGGCACATGGAACTAAGCACATCCTAGTTAAAGATCATAAAAATCCTTACATATTAATAAAATGCAAAATAACATTTTCCTCTGCCTTCACAACATACCCCTAAGCACATCTGGCGCTCGGCGTGTGCAAAGCCCTCTACACAGCGCATTGACCAGCCCTGTATGGAACACTGCTGAGCAGAGATCTTACCCTGGGAAACCACACAGAGAAATCCTCCCCCACAGTGGATTCCTTCCCACACCCCCAAATGAGGCCAGAAGAGAGTGCATTTTGAGGAGCGTGGCTGTACTCACTGTGAATTCTGTGGGGGCCATGGTGGGTCAGATGCAAACTTGCTTCTGGAAAGAGAGGACAGAAATAAAAAAGAGGATTGACTTGTCAATGAATAGTAATAAACACCTAAGATGGAGATTCAATGTTAAATCTGTTTGTTCTCATGAAAAAAAAAAAAATCTCAAGCAAGAGTTACAGTCTCTGTCATAGTGATGTCAAGTCAAGTGGTCTAGATTGCAAAATCATCTTGTTTGTTTCCATAGAAATAAAAGACCCCTCCTCTGAGAACCCTGGGGGCTTTACCATTTGCCCAGCACGTCCGTTTCCATTAGTTCATTTTCTCTTGACTCAACTTCTCTATCAGGGTCTGTTTTGCTGAATGCCCCCAGCCCCCCATTTTATCAAGCAGGGATTCCTAAAGATCACAGGGCAGCAGTTGATTTGAGAATGCTCTGGGCCTGGACTCCACAGGGGAAGGGCGTCTGGGTAACCAGGTACAGGAACACGGGGGTGGGGTGGCTTCTGCCAGCATTGGGGTCCCTCTTCCAGAGGGGCCCAGCACCCAGCGCCTACCTGCACGCTCGTTTACAAGCTCAGGGCAGGAAAATGGGCCATATGTTCTCTGTACCCCTGACTCCAGCAGGAGAAGGAAGATCCAGGTCTGTTTACCAAAGCAAAGGTAGTGCCCAAAGCAAGGGGCCCCGAGCTGACTGAAATAACGCTTGCTGTTGTCTCCACGTGTTTCGAATCTCTGTAAAACCCACTCCTATTGGACCAAGGGAACAACAGCCTGACTCTCTTCAAGGAAGGGGTCTGTGCCTGAGCCAAGCATTTCCTTTTACCCCTCTAGGAAGTATATGTCAAAGAAAGATGTCCAGCACTACACTCCGAGGTTCTAGAAGAAACTACACTCCTTCATAAATCCGTTCCTAACCTGTTGTTGTCCTTTCCGTAACACAAGGTCACGGCTCACCCTGCTTTCTGAAAGTGCAGTGGTTTTCAACACATCACTTGTGTTGAACGTGTGGTACAGCCAAGTTGGGAAACCGTTTTTCAGTTTCTTAAAAAGTTAAATATAAACCTACCCTGTGATCTAATCATCCCACTCCTAAATATTTACCTAAGAAAAGCGCAATCGTATGTCCACACAAAGACGGACTTACGAGTGTTCCAAGCAGCTTTATTTGTAATAACCAACTACTGGAAACCAGCGAGATGTCCATCGGGTGTCGTGAATGGATAAGAAACTGTAACATCCATACAATGGAACAGGAATGAGCGACGGATACACACGGCAACGTGCATGAATCTCAAAATCATTATGCTAAGTGAAGAAGCCAGACAAAAAAAAAGTACATACTGTGTGATTCTACTTATATAAAATTCCAGAAAACACAAACTCATCTACAGTGACAGAAAGCAGCTGAGTGGTTTCCTGGCAGAAGGGAGAAGGGGAGGGCAGGGCAGGAGTCCAGGAGGGGTGCCAGGGCGCAAAGGAGGCTTCGGAAGGCTCACTGTATGCAGTGTGATGGCTTTACAGGTGTGGATGTACGTCAGAGCTTAGATTCTGCACTTCAGATATTTGCAGTTTATTGTAGTTGGACCTCAATAAAGTGGTTGAAGTGAAGAAAGAGAAAAAAGCGACATCTGATGAAAACCTTCTGGGTTTCTTCTCTCCTCAGAATCATATGTAGCTGTTAGCAGGCAAGGGGAAAGGCAGCCAGAGCTGCCTCCTGCAGCCTTCCTGCCAGCAGCTTCTCAGAAGTGCCTTGTGCTGTTCTACAGAAACTGAGGGCTCAGGATGAACCCGTGGTTTCTTGTTTTGGTTTTCGTTTTTGTGAGGAAGATTGACCCTGAGCTAACATCCGTGCCAGTGTTCCTCTATTTTGTAGGTGGGACGCTGCCACAGCATTCCTTGATGAGCAGTGTGTAGGTCCACGCCCAGGATCTGAACCCACAAACCCCAGGCCGCTGAAGCAGAGCATGTAAACTTAACCACTACACCACCAGGCTTGCCCCTGAACTTGTGTTTTTTAAGAGTAGATTAGATGAGATTGATGGATGGCTAGATAGATAGGTAGACAGCTAGGTAATCTGTGTGTAAATGTGTATGCGTTTGTGTCTCACGTACGTATTTCCTGGCTCTGTCTGCGGAGAGGGCCTAATAGCAATGACACAGTAGAATGAGCACCTAGTGCCCAGATCTTGGTTTCTAAATACCTTTCTCCACCAAAAGGAACCAGGACTCCTTGGAGAAATGTCTGATTCCAGAGCTAGGCAGGGAAATGACAAGACTAACCTGAGCAAGAACATGCTCAAAGGATCATGAAGACTTATCAAAAAGACAGAGGAGCCAACTTGACAAGGCTCCTACTAGCCAAACTGAGGCGATATGAGCATCAACTTAAATAATGATAGCAATAATTATAGCACAGTCAATGAAATGAAGATTCATGAACCCATATTGAGGAACATAAATGAATAAATAAATAAATGAGCAGAGAAAGCTCTTCTTATAGTGCCAATTAATAAATATAGAAGGAATGATGGAATTAGAAAAGTCACCAATGGACGCTGAAGTCATTGGGTGAACATTTGATGAGGAACATGATATTTACCTCATCTCAAAGGATTTCCCCCCACATACATATTGTCCCATTGACTTTATCATTGTCTCTCTCCCTATTTTTTTTTTCTGAATCATGCTCTAAAAAAATGAAATATTTTTTTAAATGCCCAGTTAAGTTTGGAAGATCTCAACTCAGCTAATTTACTACAGCTTGGGGAGAAGGGGGTATGGGTTTGGAGACATTGATCAGAAAACATTTCATGTATTTCTAGTACCTGTGGCTTATGTCACCTCCTTTTTACTTACATGAAGAGACTGAATATTAATCAGATAATATCTGAGAAAACGAATTCCCAAAGAAAGAAGCCGCATAAAGAAGAAAGAATGGCTTTGGCTGTGGTTAGTTATAACTAGTTTTAGGTTGAAAATAGGGATTGCTGATAATGATAAGGATAAGTTTGGGAAAAGACCTCTACACTGCTGTGGGGAGTATAAATGTTTGTGACCTTTTTTGGAGGATTAATCCAAATCTGGCAAAATTTACCAAACATAACAGCTCTGACCTAGCAGTGCACCTGCTGGGAACGTGCCCGACTGGCATTCTCACAAAAGAACGTAAAGGTACATGTACAGGCATATGTTGCAGCCTCTTTTTTTTTTTTGCAGAACAAAAAAACGGGAAACAACCTAAATATCCAGCAACTGGCAATCTTCTGATACATCCATTCAATAAACCACATATAACCAGTAAATAGAATAACATAGATCTCACACCAATACAAGCAGGTCACCAAGATAATTAGGTAAAAATGCAAGGTGTCGAAGTTATGTTGCATGATCTTTTAAAACATATATAACAGGTTACACACTTCGCTGCTGGTCAATACCGAAATATTTTCTGGAAGGAACTTGAACAACAATGACCAGTGGAAAGTGAGACTTTCATTTTTTCTTTTAGGTTTTGTAAACTATTTAAATATTTTACTTTGTGCATGAAATTTTATTTTAAGAACTATCATAAAAATAACTTCTCTGCTTTTTTGTTTTTTTAAAAAAATTAAGTCCCAGTGCTCTTTTGTTCCTTATACCTGTTTGCAGAACTTGTCCAAAGGAGGAACTCACAGCCTCCTCCAGCCAGCCTGGAAAGCAACTAGCACCAAAAAAACAAGTCTAGTCATTAAATTCGCTGAGGCTAATTTTTGAAATGTGAAATACAAAGTTGATCTTCCTTCCATTATCAATGTGTTCCTAGCTCAGAAAATTTGGAGACAGCCAAAGAATAAAAATGAAACCTGTTCCTCCCTAGACGCCCCCCGACAAAGACACTGCTGGCGGCCTTTCTATTTCTCTCTACTCTTTGTCAGAATACTTTTCAAATATTTTCTTCCACAAACCCCAAAGTCTCAGAGATTGCTTTCGTTTTCTTCTTGCCCCTGAGAAGGAGGGAAAAACACAGGGTTGGGGGGGAACCCACATATGACAGAATATACTGAAAGCAAGGCACCTCTCAACGGTCTGTTGGGAGCACACTGGTGTTGACTCAGCTCTGCCCCAAATCTCTCCCCTCACCACTCAGTGTGGCCTCATTATGGGCCCTGCGGCTGCTCAAATCTGAAAAGCCTGCCCCTGTTTTGCAGCAAAGTGGGGTGAGGTGGGAGGAAGCACAATGGACAGAAGTGAAAGCCCCCGTCTGTCCCTTGGTCCATCCCTTTCTGCCTGTGGGACCTTGGCAAGAAGTGGCATGCCCTCCCTGAGCCTGGGTCTCCTCGTCTGTAAGTGGAGGGGATAGCCCCGCTGACTGCAAGGGCTTGTGTCGAGGGTCTAGTGCCGTGCTGTGCTTGACTGCTCTTTGCAGAAGTCAGAAAGCTACGTGAGAAGGAGGGAACACTCTTCATCCCACAGCTCACTTACTCAGAGTGCCTTGACACCTGATACACTTGCTTGGCTTAAACACTGTAGAATACAGGAGCCATGTCCTCAAGAAGCTTGCGCTCAGGTACAGTAGATACGTCATGGCTGCAAATACCAACAATGGTAAATGCTATGAAATGCTTTGGGAATTGGGAGAAGGAAGTCGTGTCACCAGCACTGGGGAAACCCAGGAGTGCGTCATTGAGGAGGTGACATTTTTACTGGCCCTTGAAGGCTGGAGAGCATGGGGACATGCAATGAAGGGAGAGAACACTGTTCCAGGGCAGGGAAACATATCAACGAAGGCAGAAAGGCCAGAAAGCGTGAAGTGTGTACAGGGGCCTTGGAGGAAGAGGAAAGGGAGACAGCTGCAAATTCTCCAAAAATGGAAAGTCCCTATTAGAAAGTTAGCCTCCCGTTACTATCCAATCGTCATTTTTCTATTCTCTACTGTCCTTAAGTAAGCAACCTGAAATCAGGATGGAGCCACTGTGGATGCAGCAACTTCCCACATCCACAGCCCCCACTGCTCAAAGTAGCCCTGTGAATGGGATACAGATACCACTGTGAGTCAGAAGCGCGGGGCCTTACTTTGGTCTTTATCCAACTGGCTACACAGAGACTGAACCATCCCTTGCATTTTTTGGTAGCTCTGCTTTCTTCACCCTGCACAAAAGCGGGGGCTCTGAGCTGTCTATGAGACCATCAGCTCACCAAGCTTGGGTCAGGTGCCCCCATCCCACCTCTCAGTAGTCACAGCTCTGGGCTGGGGGGCTTCCCAGTGCGAGCCTGTGAGTGGGATGCACACAGGGGGCTTCAGAGCAGATAGACAGATATTGGAAGAGAGAGGCTGTGGAACTCCAGGTGTTGAAATGGCAGGTTAACTTTGGTTTGTTCAGTGAAGGGAGGGAGGAGACGGGCTCTCACAGACCGGTTGCTGGACCCGATTTCCAGTTCAGCGCTCACACCAACTCACCTGACACGCCAGCCGTCCAGGCAGCAACGGTTAATTGAGGACTAAAGAGGGGGCATGTTTAAAGGACGAACAGTACTCCCTGATGAGTCATTTAAAGTTAAGTAGCTTTGCTTTGTTCTGATTAGAAAGGAGCATTTTTACAACGTACCAAAAAAAATCCCGAAAAAGCAAACATATGTAATGAAGAAAATAAAACTCCTTAAACACCCCTTTACCTGGGTTAGCCATCGTTAACTTTCTGAGATACATCCTTTTAGACTTTTACTCTGCGACACAACCTCACACACACACACACACACGCACGCACACACTCGTAATGGTAAGGGAATCAGACCCCACAAGCAATTTTCCATCTTGCTTTCTAGGGACCAGCCTTTCGTGGACCGCTTTTAATGCTAGTTCCACATGGAGCTGTGTCGTCAGATTGGATGGCTGCTGAGTATTCCATTGTCTGCATATGTCCCAGTTCATTTAACCAGTCAGCTCTTGCTACAAAGTTTGCTAGTTTCTAATCTTTTCACTGCGACAAAGAATGCTGCCCCATACATCCTTTCCATGGGGCAATCTCTCAGACCCAAGGACCTCATGGGGACTTCACTCTCCCAACCCATGGCCACTTTCTTCTCACCTGTCCCTAGCACCTGCTTCTCCCTCCATGAAGGTACAAATCGCAGACCAGGCTGCCTTGAACCTAAGCTTCACGTGTGTGGGTGGGAGGGAGGCTCATTACTCACCCTGGAAGCCCGGGAGGGCACCAGCTGATCCGCCTTTGCCTCCCTCGCCATTTCTAGCAAAGCACCTGATGCTCATGACCACTGAACAAATGAGTGAAAGCTTGGATTCTAGGAGCCGTCGTGGCAGCACACAACTGAGGGCACAAGTGACACCGGGACAGAAGAGGAGGGAGGGAGATACTCACGGCGGAGGGCAGCGTGAGAGGCTCCGGGAGAAGGCGGCCCCACCAGCTGTGTGTCTTGGGGAGACGGCTGGCTTGCTCTCTGCCTGGGATGAGGGATAAGCCTTCTATGAGTTCTGAACAAACAGCTACCCAGTAAAAACACCAGAAAGGAAGCCAGGCCACCCCTGCCTGTGCTGTCACTGGTGGGGTGGCTCAGGAGGGTGGGGAGTAGGGAGTCACCAGCTGCAGCTTCTAGCAATCAGCAGAGTTGATGATTTGCAACTAGAAATGGAAAGCTGAGAATTGCAGGGCTAAGGGAAACCATCCTCTCTGAAGATGCATGTAGAGACTGATAATGTAAGAACAATTTCTTTTCCTAGACAGCACAGCTACTTACAGCGAAAGCCTTGTCAGGCTTGCTAAAAGTGTGCATTCATAAGCTTTCTTTGAGTGGTGGTGTCTGAACAGGCCTGTGAGGGATTAGCATCCCCAGCACTGTCCGTCACAGTGTAACCTTTTTGGCCATGACAGATGTACCTAAATCCTGGAGCCGTGCCATCCAATACAGTAGCAACTAGCCATGTGTGCCTATTTAAGTTAAATAAAATGTAACTGGTTTCTTAGTCACACTAACCGCATTTCAGGTGCTCAACAGCCACATGTAGCTAGTGGCTACCACAGGTATAGACTATGCCCATCATCTGTGAAAGCTCTATTAAATGGTTACTTTAGAAAGTCATGTATGTGACACGTATGTAGGGACATGGAGTGCTGGAGAGGCACAAACGCCTTAAAATTGGCATCAAATATAGTCAGATTGTATTTTGACATGACCACTATACATCAGATACATTAACACTGATAATACATTTCATCTTATGAATCATGGGTGTTTAGATGAAATTTTGAAAAAGCCTAAACATACAAAATGTTATATTTTTCATGAAGCTCACAGGTGAAGTCTTCCTAGCCAAGACTATGGGGGGGGCCCGCGATGACAACGGCACCCCCTGCGTCTCAGGGCCAGGGGCTGTGCCTGGCAATTGAAGGGCATTTAGGGAATGGTTGTGGGGTAGAAGCTCCAGTCCACAACCTGCACCGTGGACGACAGCAAACACCCAAGTTGATCCTCGTCGTCATTATGACGAAGGTTTCTTTTTTATATTTGTTCTGGGGGAAAATCACAACAACACTCCAGTGGAGACGGATTTCTTCTTTTTAGTGTATTGATTGTCCTGTGGACTCAGCATGGCTCTCCCGCAGAGCGGCCCTCCCCATCAAACAGAACAAAGTGATACCTAAGATGCAGTTGGATTTATTTTCTAAATAGGACAGGCCAATGAATGGCCCCTAAGAAAGGCACAGACTGTGGGCAGTAAGAACGAAAGTGAGGGTTGATTCAGCAGCCTTGAGAGAGCTGTGAATTCCCTTACCTTGTCCCACATTCGCTGAGCATTGTGTCTAAAATGGTACATAACTGAGAATCAGCCAAATGCTCTGGCCTTTCACTTCTCCCTCTAAGTTAGCAATTATTGACAGAACAGGAAGCGGCAATGGAGGGGAAAAAAATGCTCCGTTAACTGATTTCTGGCTGTCTTTGGCCAGGGAAAGCCGTGAATTTTCTCCTTCTTTGTATTTGATTGGGACCTGGGAAAGTTTTCAGGAGGCTGGGACACACACGATAGTTGCAAGAGGCCTGGGCAAGGAAGATGCTGTACTTTCTACCTTCTCTTGGCTTAAGCTGTGTCATCACCAGGTAAGGGCATTCCGAGTAGATACTGTTTGTCCATCAAATGGTTGGGTGAGGTGGGTGGGAGGAAGGGAAGCAGGGGAGGAGGTCAGGGAAGAAGGGAAGGAGTAAATGCGCCGTTGTGGGAAGACCCTCTCCGCCATGTGGTCCCCCATGGTCCAGGTGGGGATGCTTAGGCAGCATCAAGTTCTGGAAGAGCTGCTTTAGAACTCCCAAGTCCCCTCCCCTGGGATGCAGAGAGGCAGCACGAGGCTGGGGAGGCAGGAAGATATGACGAAACAGTAGAGAGAACTTCTGATTTCTCAAAGAAGCCTAGGATAAATGTGATCCTTTTTGCTGTCATCCAGTAGAAATTCATTCCTTGGAGGGAACTCCCATTCTTTGTTTTCTGTGCTGTGTTTCTTTGCAGGTAGAATTCAGATCAGGGTGATTGTAAGAGGTTGCAGGTTCCCTTTTATAATGGGTATTTCCCTCTGCATTCTCACCCTACCAAAGGTGAGTTCCAGAGGGCAGGGTAGTGTGTGTGTCCCCTCTGGGTCCCAGGGCCAGGTGCTGTGCTTGGAGTTGAGGGGCGTTAGGGAATAATTGTGGAATGAAGCTGCAGTCCACAACCTCTGACATGCACAACAAAGGAAAAGACCCCAGATTTGTCGGAGGGGCCAATGGGAAGTGCCGTGTCTGAATTCCCTCTTGCTCGTTCCCACGTTCCAAGTGTCTGACATAGTCTCTGGCAGAGAATAAGAGTTTTGCTTCTATCTGCTTCTTTTCAGATTCTCCATGTTTAAGACTAGATTTGTAATCTTGTTCTCCTCCTTCCTGAGCCTTTTGTACACATTGGGAAAGTCATATTCCAAAAACATGTTGGCATCTTGGAAGAGGACGATGTTAGATTTCTACTCTTCATTGAGTGATGCCTTATCTTCACTTGGGAAGTCCAGCATGTCTTGAAGGAGTTCAGGGTAGCTTGGTGGGAGGGTCTGATAGAGTCAGGTACAAGGAGTCCCAGGGTCAAACTTCCAAGGAGTAAAATCCATAAGGACTCTTCTTTGCCCACTAACTCCATGAGGACAGGGGTCATGGGGACTTGGCCATGGTTGCAGCCCAGCAGAACGTTCTGAGAGTTTATTAATAATCTTTTGACTAAATTAATGGAAAAAAACAAACCTCCCTTAAGTCCTGGGAATCTAGAGTAGTGCTATTCACTAGAACTTTCTACAATGGTGGAAATGTTCCACGTCTGCACTGTTCGATGCACAGCCACCAGCCACAGGTAGCTAATGAACACCTAGACTGTGGTTAGTGTGACTGAGAAACTGATTTTCAAGAAATTTTATTTAATTGCAATTGGTTTACATTTAAATATAAATAGCTACATATGGCTGATGGCCACCATAGTGGACAGTACAGATCTAGACTGATCCATTTTGAGCAGCTAATATTTCTACCTTAGCAAGAGTAGCTAGGATGGCTCAGTCTATGACACGAACCAAGGGCAGCTGGCCCATAGCAGAAACACTCTCCTCTCCTCCAGGGCAGAGGGGCTTGAATGGGGAGCTCCTCCCTCCCCAGGAGGCTTAAAGCCAGCACAGGATTTCACTCCACTGGTTTTCTAGGACACCTCTAGATTCTTTAAATTTCTCGTGTTTTGTGGTTAGCAGTAAAAATGATTAAAGGTCAAGAATGAACAGAAAGGAGTCATTTTTGCTAAATTCATTTACAATGAATAGCCATCGAAGGTTGGGAGGCCAGTTAGGAGGCAATTGTCAAGAGAAGGAGAAGGGGAGAGCATGAGTGTCCACCCCCTGCAGCAGCATCAGGAATGGAAGGCGGGGGGAGAGCGTGGCCACGCGACCTGTGAGAGCTGGCAAATGAGGTGCTGCAGGAGCGGGAGAGCAAGGCCATTTGGAGGCTCCGGGAAGACTTGGGCACTTTACTAGAGAGGGGAGGTGAGAGGAAATGTTGATTTTGGCAGAGAGTGATGCATTGAGCATTGGTTGTGATGTGCTTGAGGTGCTGAAGTGAAGGTATCTGAAGCTCAGAGGGGAGGTCAAGAGTTCACCGTGCAGCCACCAAGCTCTTGCAGACATGAGCTATTTATAAGGGAAACAAGTGTCCTCCACACCTCCTGAGGTTTTGTGCTCGCAGCATGTGAATCGTTAGGCTCGTTGCGGGATTTGTAATTTTATTTGCCTCCCCTATTAATGATAGAAATCTTCCTTCTGCCCTGACACACTTTATCTCACTGGAAGATCTTATTCGAGTTCTTCATTCAACATGTAGCTGTCAAGTTTCTACTATGTGCCAGCCCCGATCTAAGAGATAGGGATGTGGCAGGAGACAAGACAGGTGGTATGAAATTAAATGACAGAGAATTAAAGCAGAGAGAGATGAAGGAGTGACTGAGGGGCCTCCTTCGCACTGGGTGGTTAGGGGAGGGCTCACTAAAGAGGTCACATTTAGGACCTGAATTACAAGAAATTCCCATAAAGGTGACGGCTGGAGGGCCGGCTCCGTGGCCGAGTGGTTAAGTTCGCGCGCTCCGCTGCGGCGGCCCAGGGTTTGGATTCTGGGCGCGGACATGGCACCATTCATCAGGCCACGTTGAGGCAGTGTCCCACATCCCACAGCTAGAAGGACCTGCAACTAAGATATACAACTGTGTACAGAGGGGGTTTGGGGACATAAAGCAGGAAAAAAAAAAAAAAAGGACTGGCAACAGTTGTTAGCCCAGGTGCCAATCTTTAAAAAAAAAAGGCGACGGTGGGGATCACCATTCCCAGCAGAGGGAACAGGCGGCAGAAAGAGCTTGACGTGTCCAAGGATGAGAAGACCAACATGCTGGGGGACAGAGAGGTGTGAGGAGTCACCAGAGAAATGGGAGGGGCTGGAGGCCGGGGTCCGTAGCTTTGATCTGATGCCAGGTGCGATGGAAAGCCACTGAGGGATTTATGTAGACAAGGACATGATCCAGTTTCCATTTCTAGTAGATCCTGGGCTGCCGTGTGGGGAAACTTCAGGGAAAACAGCCAACCCTCATGGTTTCTCTGCAGCGGGGGCTCCCACTGGCCGGGACCAGCTGACTGAATTAGAGCTTCCCCTTGCCTGGGCCACCGCGGGAGCCAGAACCCTCAGCCCTTCCTGCCACTGTCCCTTCTCCCACTTCCGCCTCTAGGGAGGCATCAGGGTGGGTTCAGAGCGCTCGGATCCCTCCCTCCTGCCACCCTACATGGAGCGAGAGCACCATGCTAACTGCCGGGAAACTTTTAGTGATGATGACAGCTAGACAGCAAGAGGTGCTGACAGGCTTTTTTTTCCTTTCTTATAAATAGACTTCATTTTTTAGAACAGTTTTAGGTTCACAGCAAAATTGAGTAGAAGCTACAGAGAGTTCCCACATAACCCGTGTTGCCTCATACATGCCACCCCCTCCACTA